CCGAAGAACTTTCTGTCCTCCATCGTCTGAAATCAAAAAAATAAATATGTTTCAAATTGAACATTTAGGATCATAAACTAGCGGGGAGAACTAATGAGACCATATTTTTTTTGTTGTTTTCTTGAAAATTCTAAAATTGGAACATCCTCACAATCCATAGGAAAGATTGTGGTTCTAAGCATAGAGTTTAGAGCAATATTGTAATTAGGGACACAGATGGTTCAACTAGCTCTCTTTATTTTTTCCAGTAAATTTCAGAATTATTTTTTGCCGTTACAGATGCAGCGTATAGACTGATCGGTTAAGCAAAGTTTAGTTCCCTCATTTTTTAGTTGTGTTACATTCGCTATGAGCTTTAGCGATCATTTCCCATTTCCTTGCTTTACTCCAAAAAGTGCAAATTGGCTCCTAACTCGGTTCAAAATTGGAATTTCTGTATAACTCTTAAAGTAAAATTAAGATTTTGACAAGGTCAACAAAATGACACCCAACTCGACTATGTCAAATTGAGGAGTTTTTGACCAGGGGCCCGAGAATCGGCCTGGGGTTTGAAACCCAGTATTTAAATATTATCAAATCGGGTGTAATTTTGTAGATCTTGTTGAGTGAAACATTTTGACTTTTTGTTTGAGAAGAAATTATAATTTTGAGCCGAGCTATGATCCCGTTGAAAATTGTTCTATTTTTGAGTCAAACCCAGAAAACGTATCAGGTCTTCAGTTTTTTTAAATCAATTTTCAGACTTTTTCACGAACCAGCAATTGTTACGGTTTTGAGTACAAGCTGCTAAAAATAAATAATGTTAAATTCTCCACTTAAAACAGTATGATTTTTTAAAGTCTGACCCACCAATCAGTTTACGGTCCTAAATGCTCTAAAACATCTCTGCCCGTTCAAGTCCCCCTGAAAACTGAAAACAATAGCTTCTTCTTCTTCTATTTTTTCGAAAAAAGTAACATTTTCGAAAAATTCTTCAAAACCATTTCTCATCGTCTCTGTAAGAGAGCCATAAAACACTCACATCATCCTCCCGAAAGCCCGCCGACCGCCAGAAGTCTTCTTCTTCTGCCTCCTTCAACGACTATAAAATAACTCATCGTGAGATGGTTTTACGAGCCAACCCCTCCCCCCTCCCACAGCTGTCTTCTTCGTTTTCCCCTTATTTTCTCATATATATCGTTTTCTTTAGTTCGTCTTCTTCTTCTCCTAGGTACCCACATATATCTTCGTCTTCTGACAGGAGGCCGCTGAAGAAGAATAAATGGGGATGAGATAGGAAGGAGGCGCATCGCTTGTTAGATTAATTAAAGAGATAATAAAATAGGCACCCCACACCGCTCCTCTTCTTATCTATCCCTCTTCGTTTGCCTTCAGAATGTTTGTACATGTCGACACCTTCGGTTTGAAGACACTTAAGAAGAGATCTGTCCCCTGTCTTTAACAACATCAAACACTTTTACCGCCGACACCGACACACACACACTCATTCATCAATCTTCTCTCGTCCGGTTCCGATTTGTGTGTGTTTACTGGCTGCACTGGAAAAGAGCAGTGATGGGGTGGATATTTGGCGGATTTGTTTGATTAATTATGTTCCCCGGGCGCCAGGGAGCCAGAGGAGCAGCTTCAAGGGAAGAAGAATAATGGTTGTGAGTATTGGGAGCAGTTGGAGAGCAGCGGCAACATTTCCGAGAGAGTGTGATTTATGAGTTTGTCAGAAGGAATCTGAAAAATATGAGCTGATGGATGCGCTGCAAAGACCATTTTTTTATTGTTGAGTTGTTTTGAGAATGCTCTAGGGGTCAGCTACAGTAATCCTAAATTCCACTGTTCGATAGGGACACTGAATTAGACTAGCTTGATTCTGAATTAAGTAGTTCCCAGTGTTAAGTTGATACAGTAATCTCAAACATCACAGTGTTTAACTGTTAAATTATTGGTACAATAAAAATAGAAGTTGGAATTTTTTGCTACAGCAATTTTTAAGTCCACTGTTTCACATGGGCACTAACATAAAAACAAGCTTAATGTTGAACTTAATAAATGGGTAATGCTTCTACAGTAATCTTCAGCCTCACTTTTTTTCGACCAGTATATTAGTCAGGCTTAACGTCAACATGCTCGAACAAATGTAAATTGGTGGTTTTGCAGGTTTTTGTTATTTTTCGCTACAATAATCTTCACTTTTCCACATAGGCACTAAGTTAGGCAAGTTTAATGCTGAATTCAATAATCAAAAAATTCAGGACACTACAGTAATCGCAAACTCTACTGTTCCACATAGTCAGTGAATTGAACTGACAAGTCTTAATTACTGATTTGAGTAAATTGTTCGGTTTAAATTATTGGAATCTTCTGAATACCGTAATCTTAAAATTCACTGTTCCACACGGGCACTAAATTAGAAAAGACTATTGCTCAATTCAATAAACGTAACGTTCGGCCTGTTACAGTAATCTCGAACTTTATTGTTTCAACTAGTCACTATTGTCTATTCAAAATAATCGCGCGATTGAACGAGTAAAAATGTCTGCGTCTCTACAGCGCCTCTACAGCTTTGGAGACTCTCTACACGTTTTTTCACTCGTTCACCCGCGCGATTATTTTGAATAGACAATACCAGTCGGTTTGAGCCCCCTATCGGGGGCTCAACCTCCTGGCTTCCGTTCACTGTATCTTACACTCGAATTTATAATGTCTAAATTTTCCACTTTTCCGAGTGCCCGAAACTTCCAAGTATTTCGATTTTTAGATTTTGAATTTTACTAATATGGGAATTTCTAGATAATGGGATTTCTCCAATAGAAGCCCACATCTATTTGATGCCCATTTCTGATAAAACTTTTTTTTCAATTTTCTGATAATTTCTGTTAAGTCTTGTCGCTTTTTTTAGAAAAAAGATATCCGATTTTTTGAATTTCCGAGTTTCTACATGACAGAATAAATGTTTCTTGAAAAAGAATACAATTGTTTGATTTTCTGAAGTCTCGAATATCTAACGTAAAATCCCTAATTTTCGAATTTCTGCATTTCCGAGTTTTTTATTATTGTTGTCCGAAAAAATTGGAGTTGAGACGCAGACAGTTAATCGAAATATTTCTCTGCGTCTCCATCGACTATGTGCTATTTAGGCTTGTCGCTTCGAGGTGCCTACCGTATTCAGACTGCAAAAAATACTCTCTCGCTCCAATTTTTTCGCACAACAATAATAAATACTCGGACTTTCTGAATTCCTGAAATTTTGAATTACCCACATACATTATTATTTCTAAGCCTTTGGTTCTAGATCACAATGAAAGTGTAGAGAAAATGTTGCAATATTTTTGTAGAGAAAGCTGAAATTTGAGAGAGTTCGAGACACTCCTGGAATTTTTTGGAATATTCTTGAACTTTTCTAGAGCTTTCATGAATGTTTTGGGTCTTTTAGAGTTTTCTGGAATGTTCACGAAATTTCCGGCGTTTTCTAGCCCTTTCTGGAATTTTATAGAGTTTTCTGGATTTTCTAGAACTTTTTGGAATTTTCTAGAATGTTCTGGAACTTTCTAGAATGTTCTGCAACTTTCTGGAGTTTTCTAGAATATTCTGAAATTCTCTAGTGTGTTCTGGAACTTTCTGGAATTTTCTGGAAGTTTTTGAAATTTTCTAGAATGCTCTGGAATTTTTAGCATGTTCTAGAACGTTCTAGAACTTTCTGGAATTTTCTAGAATGTTCTGAAGTTTTTTAGAATTTTCTGGAATGTTCTAGAATTTTGCGCATAACTTAAGAACCTTGTATTCTGTAGAAAATTACTATGACCCATTTTCAGTAGTCCACAGGATCGAAATTTAAGTGATATACGAAAAAAAAGAAATTAAAAAATTTTTAAGTTTTGAAGATTTGTGCTCAATTTTATGTAGGCAACACATAGATAGACCAAAAAAACCGCTTTGCAAAATTTCATGAAGCTTTATTGAGTTTGAGCACAATTTTGAAAATTTCGATTCTCAACCCTATAGGTTCCCTATTAGCTAGAAGGCCCAGGACACCATAGACATGAAGCGCTCGGTAGTCCATGACTACGTACCACACACCACTATAGGAGTCCCATGTCCCTTTGAGTTATTCAAGTTAATGTCCGAAACACACAGACACACCTACACACAGAAAAGTTTCCTTAGTAAGAAGTAGATATTAGACAGGATCAACGTCAAATTCAATGCATACGGCGAACAACGTATAAATTCGACGTCTTCTTTGTGTTCGAAAATTTTGGCAGTTTTTCGTATCTTACTATTCGCTTTACTATTAGTGTTTTACTGTTTTGATATTTCGGTAGTGAAATTACGAAAAAATCCTTAGTCATTGCTGTTTTAGATTATGCATAAATTTTTAGACTTCGAACGGTGTTCACACACTTTTCTAGCTACCGTACCCCATTCATCTGTTAGAAGCTGACCGCGAAGCTCACAGTCAGCCTTTTTCCATTCCTAGAGTGACAGAATCATTTTTGAATTGAAAATTCCTTTCAAAAATCACAAATTGTTTGTTGTTTCATTTTTATGACAAATCTACAAATTATAACTGCAGTCTCAATTGTTCAGTGCTTCAAAAATTAGTTGTTCAATTTCAATATTTTCGGAATTGTTCCAATGTTCATTCAGTCTGTTGGAAAAACCACAAAAATCAAAGAAAAATCCACCTGTTTCATTTCATCTACATTTAATTCCCATTTTATTACAGAAATTTGGCAATGAAGACAAAAAGAGTGGGGGTCGTAAAGCAACCGAGATGACCGTAATGGCGTATAAAAATAGGAAAATCTGTGGGGAGAAGAGAAATACAAATAAAAAAGAAAAACTCGTACAATTAAATTGAGAACAATACAATAAAACATTTTAGAGGTGGTTGGCGTTTTTCAGACGAATCACTATATATAGACACTGGAGAAGGTTTGGGGGGAGAAACCCGTGGAAAAGGCACCAGAGAGAAATAAAAACTACAAACTACAAAAATAAAATATTTACTGATGAGCAACGGTTGGCATGAGTCTGTTGGAATACATGGCTTGGAGGGAAAATGGGAGAACTAGAGGGTTCATGGTCATATTCATACCCATTGGGGTCATCATTGGTCCCATGGCTCCTGGTTTGGAGTATGGGTTGAAGCGTTGGGGTGTTGACGTGGCAGAACGAGCGGCTTTGCCTCCAGAAGTCGATGGTTCAGATGATGTCGAGGAGGAGGATGGAGATGGTGCATGGGTTTTCTGGAAAAATCATAGGTTGAGCTACACGGTTAAGAAGTAGATCAATGGGATTTTTGTCTGATCAAGGGAACTATTTAGATGTCTGGTCTTTTGGAACTTCCAAAATTCAAAATTTCAAAAATCTGAAAATTCAGACATTGGAAATTGGATAAAAAACAGAATTTGCAAAAGAGCAATAGCGACCACCGCAATAAACAAAGTTAATGGAATTTTGAAAACTTGTTGAAACCGAAAAATTAAAATTTTCAGATTCTATAAATCTTAAAATTCTATGAATCTCAAAACCCAGAGCTTTGAGGACCCCAAGAAAACAGACAAATGAAAATTTAAAAAGTGGAAAATTTAGTACTAACTAATAAGAATGTAAGTTTAGGCGAATTTTAAAATCTAATTGAAACCGAGAAAAATGTGATTTTTTCTAATTTTTTGAACTCTGAAAAATTGAAATTGCTTGAAAATTGTATCCTAAAAGTTTTCAAAACTAATGGGAACAGAAAATTTTTGATAATTGAAAATCGAATTTTTAAATATAAACTATCGTCCAATCAATAAAAATTTATTCTGACAAAACTTTCACCAACGTTTTGAAACAGAAATTTTAAATTTCCAAAAAAAAGCTCACCTTAACATGATTGGTCAACTCGCTCTCGTCATCAAAGCTCTTTCCACAGGCGACATCAGAATCCACCCAGTTGCATTGGAATTTGGCTGGTGTCTTCTGACGTTTGGGGGTTGGGACTGGCGACGTGGCTTTCTTAGATTCAGAAGACGTCTTTGGGGACGCAGATGACGTGGATGGTTTGGAGAAGTCTGTTGGGGTAGAGGCAGCGGCGGTCGAGGTGGCTGCGGCCGAAGCGGCCAAGAGGGCTTGGTAGGATGTTGGGGTTGGCATTCTGGAAAATTTGAAGGTTCAAGATATAAATAGCTAGGGCCCTTCAGGATCCATATGATTTTGTAAGGCCGTAAAATTAATCTCAACGGCCCAAAAGGGTTATAAGACAAATAAAGATACAGTAACCTATACTTGCACTTGAGCTCAATTATCTCAAAATCCATAAGAGATATCAAAAATTAGTCAACTGATGAAACGTTTGCCATATTATGAACAATATTTTATCAGTTGACACATTTTTGGTGTCAATAGCAGGAACTGATATAAATTGGCTCAAAGTTGCAAGTCAGGGATCCTTCTGTTACAAATTTTATGGTATGTTAAAGGTGGTAGACGCTTGTTTAGCATGAAAAAAATTCAGTTTCAAAATGTTCACAATTTTTGAAAGTAATTATGATTTTAGTAATTCCAGGAGTCTTTAAAAATAGGAGAAGAAAAGTAGGTCAAATAAAAAATCTAGAAAACTCACCCAGTCATAGTTGGCATCATGGCTCCAGCGTACATTGAGAACAATGGGTGAGCTGCAAATTGAGCCATCACTTCAGCACTCATTTGACCTCCATTTTTGACTCCATTCGATGATCCTGGACACGTCATACACGCCGGATTAGCACATGGTTGACGCATCATAGCAAACGGACAAATCGGCATTCGTTGAGCCATTGGAGCTATTTGAAAAGCGCCGGGGAACGGGTAATGAGCAGCCATCATTGGATTGAAGAATGGGAAACCCATTGGAGGCATTCCCATTGGAAATTGAGGCTTCGGAAGGCCTGGGAATGTGAGTGTCGGCTCTTTTGATTGAGGTGTTGATCGTGGTGATGGGGCTTTTGGTTTTTGTTGATGGGAGGACTCTTTTTTCTCGTGGTATGGAGAGCCGAGAGTCTTTTTCATGGATCCTTCGGGAAGGCCAATCGTTTCGCATGTTTTTGCGAGAAGGGCGAGAGGGGATTTTCCGGGTTCTGCCTGTAAAGAATTGGGATTAAAGATTTTCTTAGTCTGGGGAGTTGTTATACTTTTTCGGTATTTTGATTATGAAAATTAATATTCAGAAAATCGAAAGATTTATTCATTGATCGTCTCAATGTCTTTAAAAGTTTATAACGTTCTGAAACAGATTTTTTCGAAATTCATTTTTAAAAATTTTCAATTCTCTAAAAAGCCTGAATTTCTTTTTTTTCAATTTTTACTGAAAATTTTCAAATGGAAAACTTGGATCAGAATTTTTGGTGAAATATTGAGTTTAACATTTTTGGGGACATTCAAGAAAAAAAAACCTGACAGTACTAGATATCTAAAAATTTGCAAAAAATATCAAAAATCAGTGAAAATGTATTTTTTTTTTGAAAATTCAAAAGTCAAAAATCTTCAAATTAAAAAATTTTAATTCTGGAAAACTATCGGAAATCAGTGAAACTGAAAAATTTTTGAAATTCGGAAAGTTTCAAATTTTGGTAACATTTTGAAAAAGAGCAAAAACTGGTTGAAAATATAGTTGAATGCAAAAAATTCAAAAAATTTCATATTTTCAAATTTTACCGAAATTTTGAAAACTAGCAGAAAAGTCAATCCACTAAAAAATGATAAATTTGCACAATATGAAAATCAGGTGATAAAGAAATCTTTTTCTGAAATCTTTGAAGAAATTTCAAACTAGAAAATATCAGCAATAAAAAACGTCTACTTACCGTAGTTGGCGTATAATCCGTAATATACTGTGAGGACGAAGACGAAGTCATTATAATAACGGACCAAAAAGTTGAGACTAAATAAGACAGAGACCCCGCGAGGACTCTTCTATCGGCACGTTCAAAAAGAAAAAGAGAGACTGACAGGGGAAGAGTGGGGCGGGGCCAAGGCGGGGGAAGAAGTGGGCGGAGCCAATGTTTGACAGGCGGCAATCTGAGGGGAGGGGGGGGGGGGGAGACGACAAGAGAGATGATGATGACAAGAGGGGTGGGGGGAGAGGCAATTTATGATGTGTCACTTGATGAATGAGATTGGATGGAGAAGGTGTGAAGAAGAACGTTACACATCACATTTATTTAATCTACAATATAAATCTCTCTATATGTGTACGTTAGGAAAGACAGAGAGAGACTTCCTTCTCTTTTCCTCCCTTTTTCGGCAACTTCGGGGTTTGACAGGTCAAGATGGAGTGATGGGTAAAGGAAAACTGACACTTCGTCTTGTCTCCTTTTCTTTCTTTGCCGAATCTGCAAAAATCATCATAAACATATAAGACAAGTGTTTGATGTCTCAGACTGATTTAAACGTGATGTGACACTGGAAGAGTATGGGGACAATGGGTGGTGACAGATAGGGAATATTTAAAGGGACAGGAGCGCTTTTGGGAGGAAGATTCATACTTGTCAACCGAGCCGGTTTGAACCCGGAGGCCGTGATGTCCCCTGAACCTTTTCAGCCTGTGTTTGAAAACCTGGCATTCATAAGTAGTATAATTTTAAATCATTTTGTAGATCTCCTCAAGTTCCACATTTTTCTTTATGAATCAAAAAGAAATTCCCATTTTGAGCCGAGCTACCGTAATCTCTCTGATAGACTGACCCCCTCTCTGACTTTCAACTTTGAGCCTCGGTTCCTGTGAAAGATATAAAAAAAGGTTCAACTGGCGAAATGTTTTTGATATTATGATAAACATTTTGTTGGTAAAATGAAGACTTAATGTTTGACAAATGTGTCAATTTTACAATATACACGATATTCCTGATGTTCATGGACTCAAACTCGGACCCAACTTATCTCGATTCATGTGAAAGATATGAAAAAGAGCCAACTAACAAAATGGATTTGTTAATATGATGAATATTTTGGTAGTTGACCACTTTTCGATATCTTTTGCAGAAAATGAGGTATACGAGCTCAAAGTTGACGGGTAAAAATATCCCTAAAAATATCACAGATTTCAAAATCAAACTTTTTACATCTTCAAAATTCTCAGAAATTTAACGAAGATGTGTATTCTTTAGTTTTTCGGTAAGAACGTTAACTGATTATTTTTTAAAAATGCTTTTCAGAATGTTGGATCACTTTTTTCAAACAAAAACTGTTAATGAGACAGAACAAAAACCAAATGTAGACAATCCCTGTTTTTGGATGATTTTACAAGGGAAGTGTTTTCAGAGAGGCGTTGAGAATTTGCTCAAAATTTCAGTACTGATAGTTTGAGATATCCGCAACACGATGACGAAAAAATCTAGGTCATAACCCCACCAGGAAGCTGAAAATCTTCGTCTGAAAATTCTGCCCGATTTGGGCGCGCACTTTCCCCCCTCTCCTATACGCCTTCCGCGCCAGAGGAAAATGTCGGTTGTGTGGTGTAGCGGTAAGAGGGTAACTCATTAGGTGAGACTCCACTGGTTCGAACCCCACTGTGGTTAACATTTTTTTTTGTTTTTTTTTCATGTTTCTCTAACAATCAGAAGTTATCAGTAGAGCATGGATTTGTATGTCAACTCGCAGAAATTTCTGGAAGCAGCAGAAAATTGCTATAAAAGGCGATTTTTTTTTCATTTGTTCCTGTTTTTTTTTCTTCGTATTTATAGCTATTATTTGTCTAGCTGATGTCGAAGTTTCGTCGCATTTTGACATACATTCTGGATCTGGGAGTCAATCCTAGCTCGGTTTGGAATCACTTCTAGGAAGATCACAAAATTTGTTTCCACGATTCGTCGTTATGACCTAGATTTTTTCGTCATCGTGTTGCGGATGTCTCAAACTATCAGTACTGAAATTTTGAGCAAATTCTCAACGCCTCTCTGAAAACACTTCCCTTGTTAGAAGATTAATGTATTTGGCTACCAAATAATATTGTATTGAAATACATTTACCAGAAATTCAGAACCAGTTGAAACAGTAAAAATGTTATTTTCCGTATTTTGTGAAACCCCTTAAAATTTGTTTTTCAGTTTTACAACCAAATCAATTATCAAACTTTTGAGAATATATTTAAAATATGCAAAGATTCAAAAACGGGGGAAATTAAAAAATTGAATTTTCTTGAAATTCAAATTGAAACTGCTGAACATTTCATGTGACGGTTGTGATAAGCCTGTAATAGAAAGGTCCCTGTGACTTAATCCAATTTATCTGGATTTCTGTCAGAGATATGTAAAAATTGTCAACTGAAAAATACATAGTTGTTGATTTTATGATATTTTTAGCAAGTTAATAATTTTTTGATATCTCTCCCAGGAGCTAAATTTCGTTGAAATTGACCGGTTTTGACAGGGTACGTCAGTGAAAGTAGATTTTTTGTAAGGATTTCCGGTTGAAACTTCTTGAAGCACTGTAACCCAGCCAATAACTCAATAAACTTTTTTATATGCGAAAAAGGCTTACAAGCTCAGTGGAACATTAGTTTTTTGACATACTTTCAAAATTGAAAAACAAATAGAAATATCAGTTTGTAGCCACTTTTAAAGACTATGTAACTTAAATAATGGGGATTTTCAAGAATTTGAGACACGCCAAACTGTACTTTTTGCATTTTTATTATTTCAAAAAATTTGGTTCAGTTTCATTATCATCTAAAAGCATTTCTCAAAATCTTAAAATACAATCTGTCGAATTTATCATTATTCACATGTTCCTGTATTACATTTGTTAGTTTGAAAAACAACCTAACAGCAAAATAATAAGTTTGTACAGTAATCCTCCTATCTTCAAATTTATTTTCGACAAAAGTAATAGCATTATGATTCGAAATGCACGCTACTAATTCAAAATTTAGAAAAAAACGAGCAAACAGAAAATCTGAATTTGATAAGAAACCGGAAAATGAAAATAATCAAAAACAATTATTTTTAGGTGGAGAAATAAAAATCATTTAGAATATATTGAACAACATAAAATAACACCATTGAAGCTATCATAGACTTTTTGAAACAGCTAATTTTTGTTGTGAAAAACGAAAAATTTATTTTAAAAAAATCAGATCAGAAGGGTTTCAACAACAGACTATTGTCCAATTTTGTTTTTCCCTGATGGAATTGAACATTTAGACAAAATAGTGAATGCGCCGCGTCGCAACTAGCTGAGCTACGCAGTCGTAAGCGTATACAAGAGGGGTACGGTAACCACAAAAAGGTGTAAACAGCGATTACTGTACACCATCACGAAAGAATGCATACTCTGGCTATTAAAACTTTTTGGATTTCCGTTTTAACTCAATAGGCAAAAGAATAGGTAATCTTAACTAGATTTTAAAAAATTTGTCACATTTTTGAAACACGAGTGTTTTTTTACGATTCGTCCTTTGGATCCAAATTATCTTGGTTCCTGAAAATGATATGAGAAAGTTATCAACTAAAAAATTGTTGTAAGTTTTACGAAAAACATTTGCTAGTTGACAACTTTTTGATATCTTTCACAGGAGTTGAACTAACTTGAATTACAGTGACCCAACTTTTTTTAAATAGATTCTCCAGAAAAAAATTGTTCGTCATAACATTTTGGCACCTGCTCCCAAAACTTTTATTTTTATGAAACCAATAAAAATGACATTTTTTCCGGCTCAAATTTCCAGGTAGCCAATAAAAATTGCTCGTTCGTTCACCATCTGTTTATACATTCAAAAAGCACATGTTTTATTGTTGTTGAGGCTTAGATTTTATGCCTTTTTTATGTCATAGGACTTATCAATATATTCAGAAAATAAGAGCGCGATCGTTTTTATCTTATGACACAGTCGTAAAAGTTTTTTTTTATAGATGAGACGGTACGCAAAAAAGACAAGGGCGATATCATTTAGAGAAGAAATGCGTCTTTCTCAACGATTTACGACTTTTTGTCGGGGCTCTTTGAGCGTGTTTCGTGTCGCATCGCTCTGCCCATAAAATCGGGTGATAAAAAAGATAAAATGCACGATGTATGTGTGTATGTATGTGTGCAACTGATACATATGTATGTACATACACAGGTTTTATGGATCCTAAATGGGTTTATTACCTTGCTTTAGGAGACGTCATAAACATTTTGGCTGATTGTGTATGCTCCTTTAAGGAATGTGTATGAGCCTTTAGAGGGGCTCGAGGCAGGCTGTTACATTAGAGCCCGTTGTGCATATTTTAAACTATTTTACGTCGGCCTCTGTGAAAGACACTAATAAGTTGTCAATTATCAAAACGTTTGGCACAAAATCAGTAACATTTGATTTGCTTACTATTTTTTGGCATCTCACAGAAACTGAGAAAAATTGAATTGAACTTAAAATTGTAATTTGAAATAATTAGCACAGGCTCGTCTAGATTCAGCAGCTAAAAAACTTCATAATCACTAAATCGAAAATCGCTGCACATATGGAAAAGTTGAAGCAGTAATTTTCGCGAAACATCGTCGTTTTTTAAAAGAAATTCTAGATATTGTATTGAAACGCATGAGCTGAAACTTTTAGAATTCTTAATGTTCACTTAACTCTGGTAGGTTTGTAATTTGAAAGTTGGAAATTTGAACATAAACATTACATATCTGTAACCACAAAGTCAATAATTAGCCGCAAATGTGGAAAAGTTGAAACAGTAGTTTTCAGCCAAAAAAAGACTTTTCAGAAATGACCCTGTATAGGTTGAAATGTTGGTCGTTCTCCTGAAATTATAATAGTGGTAGACATAAAAAACTGAAAAGCTTAGTATGCTTGAAACAAAGTTGATAAGGTCTCAGCAAAAATCCGCAACAGTTGTGCATCACTTGCGCAACAGGCGCCCGTCGACCCTGAAAC